GATGTGTTTCTACAAAACCGTATACCATCGGCCTCTCTTCCCTTAGCTGTTCTTCTATCTCTTCCCACTTCAGCCTGTTCCTACCACCCTGCATGTTAATATACCCTATGTCTGAATTGGCTCGGCGCTCGTGGCTACGTCTATTTATGCCCCGGACTCAATCTATCTTAGATATTGGTGCCACTTTGGAATCGTCTCTGTCCATACCACCTGTCGAAGAGTCTCCCTGGTTGTTTTCCTCGTTACTAGCTATCCTGCACCCCGAAGGGCTCGCTTGCCCCCCAAAAAAGCTACTGCGCGTCCTGCAAGTCGCCAACCCACCTCATGACCTAGCCGCCCATCGAAGTGAATTCTGTCTCGTTGAAACCCCCCCCCCCACCTATGCACCTCTCTGTTTATTTCCACCACCTCAAAGCCTTTCTCTCAACTCATCCGCCATATCTCTTGGTTTGCGTTGACCACCGCTCTTTGCAGGTTGCTATCACGCACCGGTACCTCCGGTATTGTGCATATCACTACCTGTAGCTTAGGAGAAGTGGCGCGCATGTCATCGACGCCTTTCGCCAGTGTGGCTGCTAGTCCTGCTGCATCTCTATTTAGGGCATCGTTTAAACCGCCTGAAATTATCACTAGGTTTCGTCTATCAGCTGTCGTTTTGAGCTTTGCACTCGCTTGCCTCATGACTGCTTCCAGCTTGCGTCCGGGGAACGCCCCTACTGCAACCCTCTTGTCACCTCTTACCCTCTCTTTGATGGCTTCTGTGCATCGATTTAAATTCGAGTCCCCGGCGATTATCACATGCTGCGACTTTTCAGCTGGAGCGTTCTGCACCTGGGGGCTACTTGCACCTGTGACGCCGGCTGCTTTGTTCCCTCTCTGCCCCACCACTACCTCGCTGAAGCTGGGCCTTGCGACAGTTGAACCGGCTAAACCTGTTTTTTCCAAACTTGCCTGCTTTTCCTTCTTCACCATTCTGGTTGCCGGTTCCCTACTGTTCTCTCGGTAGGTCGCTTCTTTGTTCAGCTTCGCTAGCGCTTCCTCGGCGGACTTCAGTCTTTCTCTCATTGCCCTAGTTTTCTCTTGCTCTGTCGCCAACTCAGTCTCGAGCTTGGCGATTCTCACCAGCAGTTCACTCTGGGCAACCATCATTTTCTCCATTTTTTCCTCGACCTCACATTGCCTACACTTCGCGTCAGCCTCTTCTCCATCCGCTTCTACGCTTGGGTCCACTTTCAAACCCACTCCACATCCTGAACACTTTACAGTCTTTTTAACCATGCCTTTCTGACACCGATTGTCCCTATACTCGATAATTACTAAACTCGAACCCTGCACTATGAGAAAAAAAAAGTCTAAGCTCTACTACAAAAATGTGTGTGTTCAATGTACGCGCACCTCCCCCACGGGGTGGCAAAAGAAAAAAAATAATAGTCTCGGTCGCGAGCGCCACCGCACAGCGCTTGCTCAAAACTGAAGGCAGGCCAACTCCGCAGGGAGCGCGAGCCATTCCCCAGGCATTGTTTAGAGGAGGCGTTGGCTGAGAAATTTCACGAATTCGTGTCTACCGCGGTTTCGCATCACTGAGATTGTACTGTACGTTTAGATAACGCCTCCTCTAAACAATGCCTGGGGAATGGCTCGCGCTCCCAGCGGAGTTGGCCTGCCTTCAGTTTCGAGCAAGCGCCGCGCGGTGGCGCTCGCGACCGAGACTATTATGATGGCGACGGGCGCTACCAGCTAGGCATTTTTCATCTGCGGCCCATAGGGGCGCGTCAGTCGAGAGTTGTTCGAGACCTGCAACTGTACACCGCTATTTCGGAGGCTATGCAAAGTGTTGCGTTGTTGCACCGTCCGCCACAGGTGACGCTAGCGACCGAGAACATTCTAAAATAAAGGAGAAAAAGGGTGTGGCAGCCGTTTTTCTTCTCATGCGGCAGGCATCTTCTAGAGGAAGCGTTGGTTTAGATGACCGCCTTTTAAACTCATTCATAATAAAATGGTGTAGGTTCGAAAAGCCTAGAGCGGATTGAGCTGCTTTTTTGTCAAGGCGGCCGGATCACGCACAAAAGTTTCGATTTCTGGGCGATTTTCATTACAACCGTAAAAACGGAAGAAACGGTCCAGATCCGGGAGACTTGGCAGGTATGCTGTTAAAGGTCAGTTTACATGCATATGCGCTGGAGATATCCAAGACAAGAAGTTCTGCCGCCAGTCACTAGCATCACTAGCAATTGCATCCAGCACTAGATGTAGGTCAAATCCACCATTAATATCATTCTTAGGTAGCGATTGGTTTAGTTCCAAGTTGTGCCCTCAATGCAGCTCCGCTACTGTGGAACCCGAGCACCCAGCAATTCCCGTTGCACTATTGTTAGTCCATCTATGAATCATCTCTTGCAGGAGTCCATAACACAGGCGCCGAAGAAGCACTGAAAAGAGGAGTAATCACTCGCCTGGCAAGGCAGTGGAGCCCTCTCTTGCGCGGCACAGGTGTCAGTCGTGTGCTTCCAAAGCGTTTTAAGCTATATTAACTTAATTATTGTAATTACTTCTTGGTTATTTTATGTTACTAATACTATTTTTAGACCTTATTCGTTTATTTTGTTTCAGTTTTGAGCATCCTTAGCCTTGTTTTACACCTGTATTAACACTCAGTTGTGAGCATAATCACGCCACACGAGATCTATGAATAGATGACAAGCCCCTAAAGCGCTATGCACTTCAAACCTCATGACAAGGTTCCAGTTAAGTAGTAGTAGTTTCCCTGTGCGATAGCTCTGAACTCCCTATTCCGGACCATGAAGTACCAGATATATTAAACAGCGCATTTAGCGCTGTTTTTACACGTGAACCCTTGAATGACCTTCCTACTGTCCCTTCTTGTGATAACCCCCCCATGCCGAGTATTATGTTTGAACCACAAGGCATAGTGAAAGTAATTGACTCGCTGAAAAATTCATCATCTGTTGGTATTGATGGTATCAATGCTAAAGTGCTAAAAAACACCAAACGCATGAGCAGCTTGTTTCTCTCACTCATTTTTCAACAGTCTCTGAACACAGGATCGGTTCCCTGTGACTGGCGCATCGGCAAGGTCATACCAGTATTTTAAAAGGGAAATCGTTTGAGCCCCAATAATTACCGACCGATTTCAATTACCAGTGTCTGCTCTAAAATCATGAAACATGTATTGTATTCGCACATTGCCAAATTCTTGCATTCCGTTAATTTCTTCAATCCTAATCAGCATGGTTTCCGTAAAGATCATTCCTGTGACACTCAGCTTTCCATGTTTCTTCATGACGTACATTCATGCCTAGACCGCAACATTCCAACTGATGCAATCTTTATTGATTTTGAAAAAGCATTTGATAAAGTCCCACACAATCGCCTACTGCTAAAATTGTCTCGCCTTAATCTGGACCCATTTGTGTTGAACTGGACAAGCGCATTTCTAAATGACCGGCAGCAATTTGTCCACGCCAATTCGCATACATCACTCACGCACGTGCTCTCCGGTGTTCCACAAGGAACCGTTCTGGGGCCACTTCTTTTTCTCATATATATAAATGATCTCCCCACAAATCTTACATCGAACATCCGTCTTTTCGCAGACGACTGCGTCATTTATCGCTCTATAAGTAGCACCTGTGACACATCCGCACTACATGAAGACTTATTTCGCGTACAGGTTTGGTGCAATAACTGGCTGATGTCGTTAAATGTCCAAAAGACTGTACACGTTTCTTTCCACCGCCGCCACAATTTTGTGCAGCCTAAGTATACTATTAACAATATTGCTGTTGATTCTGCCGACTCGGTTAAATACTTAGGTGTCCATATATCCCACGACTTAAACTGGTCTTGTCACATTAACCACATAACGAACTCGGCTAACCGTGCTCTTGGCTACCTGCGCCGTAATCTTGGCCTAACCCCTCCCTCATTAAAATTACTTGCATACGAAACTTTCGTGCGGCCCAAATTAGAATATGCAAATGCTATCTTCGATCCTTACCAAACTTATTTGATTAACACCCTGGAATCTGTCCAAAATCGCGCGGCTCGATTTGTTTTGTCTGATTACTCTCATTATTCAAGTGTTTCAGCGTTAAAAGCAGACAACCTTCCTTCACTTCAATCTCGCCGCAAAATAGCTCGACTGTCTTTACCACAAATTTTTCCACTCGCAACTACTCAGAAATCAGTACATCCGACTAGCCCACCGTATTTCCCGTACTAGCCACGCCAACGCAGTCTATCCGGAACGTGCCCATACTAATACATTCCAACAATCATTTTTCATACGCACATCCCGAGACTGGAATGACCTACCTGCTGAAGTTGCTACCATCATGGACCAATCTCGTTTCAAGCACGCCATTGTAGTGCCCCCATAATTAATATACCCATTCTGTTGCTGTCACTACGATATTGTAACCCTCCTTTCTAGTATTGTGCCGCACCCCTTATATAGAAGTGCCGCCATAACTTCTGTACATAGTCTGTTGCCGTTACCATGTTGTTACCCTTCTTTTAAGTGCAATGTCATGCCCACCCCTCATGTAATGTCCCTATGGTACCTTTGAGGAATCAATAAATAAAATAAAAAAGTCCTATATCTACACTTGCACTCTGATAAACACCATTAGTGAAAAACTTCAGATATATAACCATGTGAAGCCTGCATTTTACACACTTGAAGCTGGACTAATTTCACTGGTTGGCCATGCTAGGCAGTGACCATGTTGCAGAGATATCAGGTGCACTGTAATGACAAGTCAATTTTTCTTCAAGCTTGATAATAGTACACAAACAAGATTGCTTTGACACACTAATACAAAAGAATTCAACACATTATTTGTGTGCTTGTAGTATACTGTCCTTACTACTACTTAACTGTCTAATTTTGTATTAATCTAATGCAATAGTATTAATTAACAGCGTTTTATGGTGGCCAATAATAGACTACAACAATTTACACTAAGAAAATGACTTACTGGCAAGTGGGTCCACCAGTTCCATTATCAATAGCTGAACAGGTCCCACCATTGTAGCAGAAGCCACGGCATGACATAAGGTTCAGGTTAGGGCTGTACATATCCTTTGACTGATTTACATCTGAAAAATAAATTTACTATTGTAGTTTTTGGAAGCTTGAATGTTAAGCTCATTGAAGCTGCACACAAAGCAGCCACTCACATGGGAACATGTGCTTGTTGTAAAGTTGCAGATGAGACATATTTGGACCAAGAAACCGACTCCATGTTGACGTCTGAGGATGCCGGTTTTTGACAAACATTACCAAAGAGCCACCCGAGTAGGTGCTGAAAAAAATGAAATTTAGTTAAACATACTGCACACCTATTAAGAGTTGTATTAGTACTTTTAAAACTCTCCTGTGTACACTAAAAAAAGTGCAATCATGTGGCCAGGTCTGCCGCTAGGGGGCTGAGCCACTCGGACGCCTCTCGAATAGGCTCTGCCAGTTTTTCACTTTGGCGGCTGAATAAGGACAACCACGGGATTCAAGATCATCACAGCTGTCGCCAGACGATCACCCGATTCGTCCTATGCCAGGATATACCAGGTGGGCCTACTTTTTTTTGAGCCGTGACACTTCTTTTAAGTTCCCACAACGGCGTCGCCCTAGCTACGCCATCGCAGTGCCATCGACGCGCTGGCAACTAGGCCACAAGCCAGGCCCCCGGCTTGTTCGAAGCCTGCGAAATGGATGTTGTGGAAATTGAGGGGGAGACGCTGTCTCCCGAAGAGTACAACGACACTCAAGGATGGGTTGTGGCCCATGAACGACGCAAGAAGGCAAAAGACAAGAGAAACGCGGAACCAGCCACGAACACGGGAGGTGCGTCCATGGAGGCGTCTCGGAGACTGAAGAATTTTTTGCATCGCCGGCCAGTGCCAAAAGAACCGCAACTACCAGAAGACAATTACAAGGTTGTAATATGCCCAGGAGGAGGTCTGGACTTTACGCGACAGAGTCTAGCGGTCATAAGAGACTGTTCTACGAGCGGCAAAAGTACAGGCTGACATTGCTGGGGAAGATACTCTCTGAACCAACACGCGACAAAATACCATGATCATGAGCACACCTAGTCTGGCCAATGCGAAGGAATACAGCAACATCAAGGAAATTATGATCAATGACAAGAGCTATGCTACAGCCGCTTATGTAACGGCACCAGAAAACACATCCAAAGGGGTTATCCACGGAATACCGAAGTATGATAATAAAGAAGACATAGAAAAAAGCTTGGTCAATCAGAAGAGCCCGACGACTCTACATGCACGACGTATGGAACTTACGGACTCAGTGGTCATTTAAAAGGGTTGTTTGTGTCGTATTTTGTATACTACCGTGGTGCCGAATATAGGTGCTTCCTATACAAGAAGCAATATGAAACATGCACTACTTGTGGTCGAATTGGACATCGGGCGGATGTCTGCCCACAGCCTGACAGCAAGAAATTCCGTGGTTGTGGGGTGCTCAATCCAACTGAAAACCACCAGTGCATCCCTAGGTGCAGCCTTTGCGGGAAAGGTCATCTTACAGGGGACAAAAAATGCAAAGAACGGTTTAGGACCCCGTACCTTTTGAAGAAAAGATGGTGGGAAAAGGAACAACAACAAGGCGATGAGCGAAGAGAAATGAAGATTTTGTCGAACACTAGAGCAACACAGGCATGGAGGGAAGGGTATTCACCAGAAAATCCAACAGAGGAGAATGGCAACGCCACCAAGGACAGAGGGGGACGACGCAGAGATCGTTCCAGCTCCTTCCCGCGACTCGCCGAAGGGGAAAGAGAAGGGACTCAACGCGAACCCAGATCCACATCCAGATCAAGGTCCACTCGTCAACATAGATCCAGGTCACGGGCCAAATCCAAGACAAGGGCAACGACATCACCTCAAGGACAGTCCCACGAGGGTCCTGGCGGCGGTCGGGGCAGTCAACAAATGGTGAGCTGGGTCGGCGAGGTATCGGGGGGGTCTCTCCGGTCTGGGAGTTTGCCTGAGGTTGTGGCAGAAGGGTCCACCCTAGGTCAAGAGCTAAACAATATTAAGAAAATGCTAGAGCAACTCACCCGTGAAAACGCGAAACAGAGGGACGAAATAAAACAACTAAAAGAAGAGAACTCTAAACTCAGGCAAAATCAGCTGCGCGAGTCAACTAGCTCCATAGCATCGTGTAGTCGAATTTTAACTCCAGCGCCTGCACAGGAGTCAGGAGTGCACGCAGCGAAACGAAGAGCAGAGGAAATATCTCCTGTAGAAAATGAAGACCTCTCAAAACCCCTGGAAAAGAAAGTCGAGAATATGCTCGGAGAACTTACTAAGGTAATGCAACAACAATTCGCAGGATTGCAGCTGCAGCTCATAGAAATAAAACAAAGAATAGATAGCATAGAAAATCGACTAACGCTGGTGGAGAACACGCAAACAGATTTGAGGTCTATAGGAGCAGGCCCGGTTAAAACTACTACTAAACCCTACAACCGGCTGACTACGACCGAAGTAATCTAAATCGCAGGGGAAGGGACCGTTCCTAGACATGGCACGACGTAATCAGTATAAAATTTGGCAGTGGAACTGTCGTGGGTATCGCCAGAAATGGGGTAACTCACAACAGTTCCTAAACGGAAAGGAGGCACCAGACGTCATCGCCTTACAGGAAACTGGAGGAATGGCTAAATTGTCGATTTACAAATCCTATGGTACCCCTGATGAAAAAACGTCCGTAACAACCCTCGTGCGAAGAAATCTCACGGTGATAGAACATGATACAGAAATCTGCTATGTCGATCATGTTCTTGTCGAGTTAGTTCCATCGCAGAAGAGTGGTGAAAGTCTATTCATATTAAATGTCTATAGCAGCCCTAGACAAAAAACCAAATTTAGGTCACTTTTTAGAAAAACGATCAGCATTACTAAAAAGCAAGCATTGGTTATAGTAAGGGATTTCAACGCGTTGCATGCGGCATGGGGTTATGACAAAGAAATCATCAAAAGTAGAAATCTCTGGATCGACGCCCAACTGGAGGGCCTTACGTTAATAACCGACCCCCTTTTCCCAACTAGGATTGGAAACAGCGTATCCAAAGACACTTCTCCTGACCTCACATTTACTAAAAATATCATCAAACCTTATTGGCTTAATACACAAGAAAATATGGGCAGTGACCACTATATAATTGAGACCACGTTTAAAGCAGGTCCACGTAAAAGAGGAGGCAAAGAATTAAGGATGGTTGAATGGGATAGCTTTAGAAAGATCAGAGAGAAGGGAGCATGCGATGTCATCGAAGACTTAGATGAATGGCTAGGGAACCTTAAGCAAAATATTCAAATCGCAACTAAGACCATACCAAAAACAGAAGGACTAGAAAGCACAGACAGTTAGCTCCTTCATATGTGGGAGGCAAAAAAGAGCCTAGAAAAACGGTGGAAAACACAACAAACGCCTTAGAAAAAGGATGGCCACCCTCAGTAAAGATATTGAGAAGTACGCGGAGCAACTATGCAGACAACAATGGAAGGAAAAGTGTGATGCGATGGAAAAACAAACAAGTCTCTCTAAAACATGGAACCTGTTAAGATGTCTGATAGACTCGGAAGCGAGCAAGACAGCACAACAACAAAACTTTATTAGACTTGTCCATAAATACAAAGGCACGGAGGAAGAACTGATTGAAGAAATCAGACAGAGATACATTGGGGATACAACGAAAGAGTAATTAAGCTCGTACAAAGGTAAAGAAAATGATTCCTTAGACCGACCCATATTAGAGGCCGAGGTACGATCGGAACTAATGGAACTGAGCACAACATCAGCCCCGGGCCCCGATGGGATCACGAATAAAACGCTCAGAAACTTGGACGACAAATCTATCACAGCCCTCACCGAATATATGAACAAGTGTTGGGAAAAAGGTAAGATACCCAAGCAATGGAAAACGGCAACAATCATAATGATTCCCAAGCCAGGCAAGAAACTAGATCTTGATAATCTTAGGCCTATTTCCCTGACATCCTGCATAGGAAAGTTATTAGAGCATGTAATTTTTAACTCGCCTGTCAAATTATATGGAAGACAATGAGCTCTTTCCCAATACGATGGTAGGCTTCAGAGCGAAACTGTCTACACAGGACATTATGCTTAAGATTAAACACCAAATAATTGATTCGGGTCTCAATACACACAACACAAAGGTAATAGTTGGCCTAGATCTTAAAAAGGCATTCGATAATACATCACATAAAGCTATACTTGCCGATCTTCAAGCGTTACGGGTAGGAAAAAGAGTATACGATTATATAAAAGACTTTTTAACTGACCGGACTGCAAGAATAATACTAGGCAAAGCGGAATCCCAAGAGTTTAGTCTGGGCAGCAGAGGTATGCCGCAAGGCTCAGTCCTATCCCCCTTTCTTTTTAACGTGGCCATGATAGGTCTCCCTACTAGGCTGAAGGAAATTCCAGGGCTCCACCATAGCCTCTATGCAGATGACATTACCTTATGGGTAGCAGAGGGTAGTGACGGATACATAGAGGAAACTTTACAAACAGCAGTGAATGCTGTAGAAGAATATGCCATCCATACAGGATTGCAATGTTCACCGGAAAAATCGGAACTTCTCTTCTATAACCCGACATGTAGGGGTCGGAAAAGCATCCAGGAAAAACCCAACATTAAAGTCTTCGTTGGAAAAACGCAAATACCTACGGTCGAAAACATAAGAATTCTGGGACTCCGAATCAGCTCAAACAGGCACAACGGAGAGGCGATTAGAATACTTGAAACCAGTGCGCAGCAAACTGTGCGCCTACTTAAACGAATTGCAAACCGGCACTATGGTATGAAGGAAAGTAATATGATAAGACTGGTACAGGCTTTTGTCATCAGTAGTATTGTATATGTGATTCCGTACCTCAGACTGCAAGAGGCCGAGAGAGAAAAGATTGACAGAATCATTAGACGAGTTTTCAAACAGGCGATCGGACTTCCAATTACTGCCTCTAATGATAAATTACTTCAATTAGGGCTTCACAACACATCTGAAGAGCTTATAGAAGCTCAAAGAATTGCACAATATGAAAGACTAACGCAGAGTAAAACAGGTAGAGCCATACTAGAGGAACTGGGTATAAACTACGCAAATCAATTTGGCGCCAAAAAGGATATCCCGTATGAAATTAGGAAATGTTTAGTAATCTTACCGATTCCAAAAAACATGCACCCCAAACATCACAAAGCAAGGAGAGCTGAAAGAGCGAAAAATATACATAACAACGTAAAAGATTTACCGGAAACAACATACGTAGACGCAACCAATACAAAGGAAATGACAACATGACTATAGCAGTAGTGGACTACAAAGGAAATCATAAGGTCAGCGGCTCGGTGAGAACGAGCTTTGCAGAAGAGGCGGAGGAAGCAGCTATTGCAATGGCCATAGCATCCACCTCGACTTCACTCATTGTTAGCGACTCGCAGACGGCTGTGAGAAACTTTGCACGAGGGCGAATATCCCAAATAGCTTTAAGAATATTGGTTGGATGCAAAGACCAACGAACAATAGAAATAGTCTAGGCACCCGCTCACTCCTCCTTGCCCGGCAATGAGGCTGCACACCAGATAGCTCGAGGACTTACAGACTGAGCCTCTGGATTGCCCTGGTCGAACGGGGAGGACGATGAGAGATTTGAGCGGATGACCACTTACAGAGATATTACGCAGTATTACAGGCTAAGCAGGAAAATTTATCCTCCCGCACACTCGTCACTGAACAAAGGACAGGCGGTGGCGTGGCGCCTACTCCAGACCCACACGTTTCCTAGTCCGGTAACAATGAACCGCTGCGTGCCGGAACTTCATTCGGACAAGTGTAAATTTTGCCACAACAGGGCGGACTTGAGCCACATTTTATGGGCATGCCCGCAGGCCCCCATGAGAGGCGAATTTCTAGACGGGAGTGGATGGGATGCCGCGCTCCTCAGCTCTGACTCAATTACAAGCCCGCTTAATACGGCAGGCCGAAGACGCCGCCAGGGCCCATGGGATCATGGCCGTCGTCTAGGTTTGGTCCTCCCTTCTCCTCTCGCACCTGAAAGGGGAAGAGGACCTTTCTGCTAATTAAATAAAGTTTGTTCATCATGTGGCCAGCATCACCGAAAGTTTCCAAAATCAAAAATAAGCAATCAAGGCTTGTTGTGGCATGATAGCAAAGAGAACTTGCTTTTCGTAGAAGGCATTAAACTGTTACCACATTGCTCAGACCAAATGATCCCTTATACAATGTCCCATATTTTATACCCAGAACCATCTTCGTTTTTGTTGTCAAAAGGTTGCTGAACCAATTATCTTCATGCCAATCCAGGCTGACTGAAATGAAGATATTGCAATATTTGGAACTCCTGCTTCTGCAATGCTCACGCTTGTAACTTGACACATGGTGACAACAAAAACAGCAAATCAGGCACATTGCACAGGTGGCGTTAAGGGTTAAGCTGCATAAAGTTGCAGTGATCCACAATAGTCTAGCTCACATGAGTAATATGGTGCGCGGTACGATGCACCAGGCTTCCTGCACGCTTTCCCTCTCTGCTACTGCAGAGAAAAGCACATTCAAGTGCAGCCTTTTCTTCAAGCTGCCACCACGAAACATGTACTGCTCTGCTTTGGCAGCCACTCTGTCACTCAATCAGAAAATGCATTCTCAAAAACTTCAGATGATTTAAACATTAGACCAATGCTAACAGTGGAAGTTTGAATTTACTGCTTCGGCATTCCTTTCTGGCAGCAGTGACTGATCACACTTCATTATACTGAGATTAAAAAGATATGGTCTGCTATAGACATGAAAGTTATAAAGAGTTGAGCACTTAATTATACTAAAAACTTCATTATATTTAAGTTGTTACACTGAACTGAATATGAACGCTGCATATCTTTTTATATACACTCACTTACTGAAATGGCAACCGTACTATAATACAAAAGTATCTGTAGTCCATGCAGTCAAGCATTTTCATAGGCCTTTTGTCTGCACCCCATGAAACTACTGTGGCATTCAAAATTTGACAATTTGAGCTTATGTTTGTGCTTCGTTTGTGAACTCAACACACCGCAAATGAGTTCAATATTTTGTATAGATTATTCAAATCTTCATCTGCTCTCTGTGCAATGTGTTTTTTCATCCAACCCGAGACGTAGCTCAGGGCCTCTAAAGCTTGCATGCAAGGCCATGTAGTAGTTGAATTGTTCATAGGATAAGCTATTTTCTGTTTGGCTCACCTATCAATCCAAAAAAGCACAGACTGGAAGACCGCCACAGAAACTGGGGAATAGTGGCGATTGGGGCCCTTGTTGAGGCCTATTCTTGTGCGTCCAGTGCCATCCAGCCGTGCTTGCTCAATGCGAGCTGTGCCCAGATCGCACCAGTACAGTAGATCATGCTTCAAGTCCAATGTCAGATCAGACACTTGAAACAACTGTTCCTGAACGATGATTTGTCGCTCCTTTGTCTCTAAATCAAAGCGTTCAATACGTGGCCATTCACCTGCATTACTCCAGAACAGAAGTCTGTAAATGAGACAGTGAATGAAAGCAACTTTTACTTCCCCAAATCTGAAAGTACTATAAAATGTTGAAGTAATTTATTCTGACCTCTACACAGTGTTCCCATTATCACCTGCTACCTTTAGTGCAAGACTACGCCTGGTGCTGCATATAGCAACTACAGTGCTGCACAGCACCATTGAGTCTGTAGCACAGCTTAATGAAGAAATATCACAGCTGTTTATCTCAGATGCATTTAAACTTAAAAGGCCAAGATTAGTGCACATCAGCCTACAATATAAAAAATTCTTTGCAATGAACTGCAAAATGCTTTTATACTTGATTCCAGTTTTCTCAGTATTATGAATAGTATAAATTTCACTGGCACATTTATGAATAACAAACTTCACTGGCACATTTAGCACAATACCAAGCTATTTTCTCATTAAAAATTTACAAAGCTCTGAAAAATAGCTCGTCCGAGACTATCAGGCTCCTTGGGGCTGGACAAACATTTCTCTAGGGGAACCCAGGTCTACAGTAGATTTTATTTTAAGACAAAAATTTTACTAGCTCTAAACATCACATTCAGAACCGTCTAGCATTAATTTCAACACAAAGTAAAAAATCACCAGTCATCAGGTATGTGCATTTAGCAGAAATCTCAAGACAAGGTTTGATGATATTTATAGTGCGAGAACAAAACGACGACACAGAGACGAGAAGGACACGTGTCCTTGTCTCTGTGTCGTCGTTTTGTTCTCGCGCTATAACTATCGTCATGCCATACCAACTAGCCCAAGCTGCCACACAAGGTTTGAGACAACCTTCATTCAGGTTACAGCAAAATGCATTGATGTTCCACCCATGTTAATGTTTGATTCCCCATCAAGGGTCAAAAATTTTGTAGAACATTGATAACCTTTGTAGACACCTTAAAACTGGTGCTGCTCTTGAAGGACATGCTCAAGAATCTGTCAGTTTCAAATGTACAATGGGTCACAACCTGTAAATTGGGGAGATTCTAGTTAAGTAGTCTGTAACAACTTATCAAGTAATAATACTACAGCTGAATCGGCAACACTGCGTTATCCACCAAAGTCTTTGTTTGTAGACTTCAGTTTTAAAGATAAATAGCGTGGTAAATTATGGAAAGACAGCTTCGCAGCAGTCCATCTTTGCAACATGTATGAAGTGCAAGATTTAAGCCATTTAAGCCACAGTGACATTTTAATCCATGGCATTTACACAGTTTCAATAATACATAATTACTTGATCATTCAGCAAAGCACCAGTGCTTTTGATAACTGGTCATAGTGAGTTTCGGCACTGCAAAATTTCGAAATGGCCATATTCACAATACTGGCAGCATCACAGGGTGGTACTTTTGATGAACCACATACACTATTTGGCAACTTTTATTTTAATAATAGCACAATCTATATTTTATAGCCATTTTAACAGTTGTGAGTGTGAGAAAACATTAAACATTGCAAGTGTGAGAAAACAATAAAATAACTAAAATATTCACACAATCAAGGGACATAAAGTAAACTCACTTTCTAGAAGGGTGTATTACTAAAGCATTGACCCTGTGAAGGTCAGTATCCACCAGTACAGTGACACCAGTTCCATTCAGGAAGAAAGATTCAATCCGGGCACCACGACTAATAAGCACAGCTCTATACAAAAGACCTAAAAAAAAGTGAAGCATTTTACTTTTCACAAAAACTCAGTAGACCTAAATTGAATGCTTCAGCAAGGAGTGCATACAAAAATGCGAGTTTACGACAGGCTCCTTTTAAATGCTGACGTACAGTATAGTCCACTGTTAGATGTAACAAGCGAGCTTATAGTTCGCGAGCTGCGCTACGCTAAATGGCAGCGAGATTTGTAAATGCCGCACATGAGCATAGAATTAAGAGGGCGGCACAAATCCAGTTTCGTATGGTATTTCTCTGCCTGTGCACATCAAAGCATTAAAAAATGCTTTGGTGTTTTTGCGGTGCAATTTATCTTGCTGTAATTCAGCCTACTGCTTTTTTGATATCCAGCAAACACAAAAATTAATGGTTTTTTGTTTATTGCTGCAGTTTTTCCCAAGCTATCACCATTAGACATTTTTCCCATGCTTATTCACAGCAATTGGCCGCTTTTGATAACAGATAGGGCTACTGAACTGATACAGCGAACCTTCCAAGATCGCCTTCGCGACCATGAAATATCAACTTATTAAAGAAGTGAACTTATTAACTCGCCTTCGCGACCGTGAACCTATCAACTTATTAAAGAAGTTCGTATCAGTCAATTTGCACTGCAAAAACAGAAAGCGCGAATGGTCATAGTGAGCTAGTGTACACTGAGTGCATCAGCAAGGAAGAGGCAGATGACTTGGAGAACGCACAATCTTGATGAGCCAATGCGCATGCGTCGTATTTCGAAATCTCGCCAGCAGTTCGGGCTCGGTGGACAGTTGGCCACACACTCGTGTGTTCCCTCTAACAGTGGACCGTATTGTCTGTGATCTCTGCAAGAGACATTCTGCCTCATGAAAAGCCCAGCTAAACAATACATGAGAAACTAATACCAGTGTCACAAGAGCCCTTTCAGTCGTGATCAGGCCTAAATGAGATCAAGACCATCGCAATCCATGTAACATTATACGGCACACAGATGACAATTTCACCGACATCTGCCCTCTGTGGCCGAGCTCGTTAAAAGCTAAGTTAACTAGAAAATCTAGCATAGTTCACTACGAACATTAAAAAAGCCTGTCTTCTATAAAAAAAAAACAAATTTTATATTTAAATTGAAACAATATATGAAACTTAACATATCTTCAAACTTATATGAACCTTATGTAGTTATGAGAGAAGCAGATGATAAGCAGACAACCGCTGTCTTCAGCGCTTAGTTGAACTGTCACATCGTTGGAGCAGTTCAGGCACCTCGAAGGAAATTGATTATTAGTGTTGCCCGCTTTTCCACTATGACACAGCGTATGAAGAGACTTGTACATTAATTGCTGGCAGGAGTGTATGGGAGACTTTATTAGCCTTAAGTGAAACTCGGGCATGTAAAACAAGATTGCTGCTTCGCTGCGACTAGATGGCCACGAGTGGGTGTCGTAAGAAATAAGAGTTAAGGTTAAGAATCTCACAATTATACAGGTAAGTGCAAAGAAAAGTCTATCAAATGACAGATTTATGACAGTACTTTTGCACATGCAGAATTTTTTTTGTGCATTTCTTGCACAAATAAGATTGCTGATCAAGGCCTCTATTCACCATGATAAGCAGAATCGCCATCTGGAGACATTTGGCTGAATTACGCCCAGTGTGGATAGCTCCCTGTGTCATCTGCTAGCCACATTGTGTTTACATGTGCGTGTACATCATGCACATTCTCAAAGGATAGTTTCTTCGGTGATGTTAGTGCGAGTTTAACATCTTGTATGTATGCCTGAAACAACATACAAAAGCATTTGGTTTTGCTTGGCAGTTTATGCCCTGTAATAAAATCAGGGAGTGCAACATTTCAGAGTGCTGTGTATTGTCGTACCCTCCGTTCACCAGAATCATTTCAGTGTGGGTGCCACTTTCTACTTCAAGCACACTGCAAAATGCCCCTGTCATGGTCCCACACATGAGGATTATTAAATTGTGTAAATGCAGCGTTTTAGTGACTCAATTGTAAACAAAAGCGAGGCTTTCGGCCACGCACTTGCACATTATGTGTAAAACTGCAGCAGTACAGTTTATTGTGCAATGAGCTTTACTTGTGTTTATCTGGCCGTGGTGCCACTACAGACAAATATTAATATCGAGTAAAGAGTGACACGTTGGTACTTGAACAGTATTTAAGGGGAGATGCAGGTCGAAAAACGCGAGTTTTTTTTCAAAATTACCGATTTTTTATTTTAGCCCGTTTTGATAAGATTAGTACCTCTACTGTTCTGAAAAAAATAATACAGGTCGAGACTTAACTGGAAATGCTTTAAAATTTCATCTAAAGAGCACAGGGTGCTTGTTAAAAGGTTGAAAGTGTGCAGTCTTCGAGCACCTTGCCGCCGATAATGCGCCGCCGCTAGCCATTGTTGATCGCATGAGTCGAAGAGTAGAGCCTCACTCTTCAAATAACAACAGTTTCTCTTGCTGATGCAGCGCAAGAAATAATAACAAGAATCACTCGTCTGCGCGTTTTTCAAGCGCTGCGACTGGCTTATCACATGGTACCAATCGAGGACCGCCATTGGCTGCTGCGCACCTGTATGAGCTGCGAAACCCGTTTGCGGGGTCCATGTCTTGTCGAGCAGTGCAGCTAAACAATGCTTTTCTCGTGTAATTATCTCCGTTATGAATGAAAAAAGGCATTGCTCGCAAGTGAAAGCAGTTGTGCAGCGAGCTGTGTACAAATAGGCTATGAGCAGCTGGTGCGATTTGCGACAGTTGTTGGCTTGCAAAAATCAATGCATCGAAGTCATTCACACCCGTCAGCCGGAAAGTTCGTGATGCGGCAATGGATGACGTCAGCGCCAATCTAGAGAGGTCGAAAGAGGTCGCAGTGAGAGAACTTGGCAGGGACGACATTGCCGTTATGTACGACAGTATGTGGCACAAACATGGCTGCAAAATGGCATGACACTGGACTTGGTTGGGATTTCGTAGTCCTGTCGAACTTCTTCCTAGCTTGCAGTGGGCACAAGGCTCTGCCAGATGGAGCGGAAGTTTGGCAAGCGTTTCATGGCCCTGTCTGTGAGCGAAATGTCTGTGAGGAGTCGGCTCGAAAACGCCGAGAGGGACAAACTCATGGTGCTGGCCTATTTTAGTCGCAGTGGCCACTACAAGAAGAATTGTTCTTTTTGGTGTGCAAATTTCATCTGATTTAATGATAACTTTCATAAATAAAAATGCAATTTTAACTTTAAAACTTTTTTCTCAAAACACAAATTTTGCCATTTTTTCCAATGTGCCCCTCCTTTTTCGGGCACTTCTAGTGCTCGGATCTGCAGGAAATTTCGCCCAAATTTTTTCCAAAGTATGACAAATGCAATTATATAGTTTAAATTTCAATATTTCATTGTAGAATAAAAAAATTATGTATACCTTTACTAGGATAGATGAAATAGACTTTTTACGTCTATTATTTTTCATACATATTACATATTTTGTATGTGCTTTCTAATTAGTTATTTGCACTCTACACTTTGTTTGAAGCATTATGAACTATGAATGGTAAAAAATTACAGAATTTTAGAGATGAAAAGAGGGGGGGGGGGGGCAAAAGGATTAAGGTTTTCACTTTGTCATGTTTCAGAGCTAAAAGTGTGCAACTTGCAAGAAAACTAAATATATATTTGAAATACACATAAAAAGTCCCATATCCAGCTGAAGTTTCATGGCTCTAGGGTGCATATTGAAGAAAAAGTGTCTTCAAGTAGCATCTCCCCTTAAAACAGAGTTGTCATCGAAATTTTAACTTGGGGCAAAATCCTTTAAAAAAATGCTTTAAAGAACCCAGGCTCAAAATTAATTCAGACAGCATGCCTTACATACATGTGTAATTTCATGGAAAATCTCATCTTTTTTTTTTTAATGTTGTATTGAGCACTTCTGAGGCACTGTTATTGACTGATAGAAGGCAGCGATCATTTTTCATTTGAAAAAAAAAAAAGAAAAAAAACCATGCTCATCTCATAGAATAGCCACACTTTTGTTGTATCACTGCCATGTACGTAATCTATCAATAAAAGCTTTCTGCTGAACTTTAAGAAGCTTTTTATACCTTTATTGTTGCAAGAACATGTGCATACATAGTAAACGTCGATGTAAAAAAAGCGCTGTCAGCAACTAAGATTTCCTAACTATACTTATCAGCCATCCAACATATGGCGAGCAAAATGAGAAAAGCGTACCGAATACATCGGATAGATATGCAAGTTTTCCATGACCTTTCATTGGTTTTTTGTTTGTTTTTTCCTGTATCCAGATGAGCAAAAAAGTAAAGAAGTTCAGTTGTGCTACAGCAGTACACAGTAGGTGGAACACAAGCTAAACACGTACAAACAGCAGAGCAAAGGAGTGATCTAGCACGAAAGCGCACAAACAGTCACCCACAGGGTGAACATCCCTTTTATAGGCAGAATGCAGTTCCCTCGCTAATAATGATAACATTCTCTGCACATCGATTTGGCAAAGAGGAGCATATTACCACTAAACTGCTGTTAACGCATTTTATTCGCCAATGTCACAAACGAGCGCTCCGAAAAAGCGCGCGCCGCCGAATTATAGCGACAGTAACGATACCAAGCGCAGAGAGGCACCTCAAGGTCAACGATAAAGAAAAAAAAACATCCAAAGGCTCCCCGGGCGTGCCGTCTCTCACCCCTCGGAAGCGTAGTTTCGCCGACCATCCTCCTCACATCGGCGGCCGAGCAAGCCCTGGAAGGTTCTCAAGGGAAAGGGGCGTGGTGATGCAGAGTTACGTCACGAGTCGCGGATGGCCCTCGAAACATCTCGCGCTTTCCCCAGTCCTGACTGTGCATCGCGCCGACGAAATGATGAGAATTTTCTGGAATCTAGCGCGAAAGGTATTTAAGCGAGCAGTGGAGAAGGGAGATCAGGAGAAGAAGGAATTTTGCGCCAGTGTGCATAGGGTGTTCCGCCTCGTCGGCGAAGCCTTTTGTCCTCAGTGAC